ATCTGATACATCTGTTTCATATTTGAAAAAGATGTTAACTTAAATCTAACAACCAAGCAACTTTTCAATTTACTTTCCTTACTTATGCAGCAATATGTACCTTCATCGTCTGCATACGGAGTTGTTATCTCTCAGTAGATTCGATACATAAGAGCATGCTCTTTTAATGAACAATTTCTAAAACGAGGTAAGTTATTGACTAACAAGTTGCTAAAACAAGAATATCAGCAGCCTCATATGAAGTACTCATTTTATAAGTGGTCAATACAATGACCTTGTCATCAAATACAATTCAATATCAAGTCAAATACTGACGTTTTTCATGCTTTTTGTCATTCCATTATTTACACACTGAATTGTCGACAAAGAACTATATGCGGTATGTTGCATATATTTGCCCCCACAAAGGTCAAATTTTGAAAACTTCCTGAAATGTGCTGAATTCAATAAATTGTATGAGAAATATAAATTAACAGAAAATATCATAGTTTCAAAGAAGTATATTCACAATTTTTTGATTTATGAAGTCACAAACTAGTCCGATTTTATATCCTTTTTCAGAGAGAGGACAAAATAGACAAAATTTCAACAATTTCAGCTTTGAAATTGATAGAGCGCAAGTTTGTTCAGGAACAATATTGACATATTTCATTGATATTATCATTCTACACATTATATTAAAATATTGATCCTGAACACGCATGCGCTCGGCGACTTTTACTCAAAATATCGACGAAATATGTACATTTTTCTATAAAATTCGTAAAAAACTGAAATTTACGTCATGTTTGTGACGTCATTACGTACATATGACGTCATAACTTATGAAAATATTCAGTGTTTTGAAGTCAGCATATACTCCCCTGTTTAAGAACTTAATTAAATATATCTCCATCAAAGTTTGATTTGTGGGGCAAATATTGGTTATTACCGAATAAAGTTCTTTTTCGTTAGTTCCTGTGATCATGAAAATGAGCACACGGCTTGTGTGACCAGTCGGCAAGAGATGCTCACTCCTCCATGGCAACACCTTAATTAGTCAAATTTCAAACATTTTTGTGCATCAGGTGAATTCTGTTCTTTGTCCAAAAAAAAAACAAACCCCAAGATAATTCATAGCTTGCAATGATTTATTGCGGATTTTTCTACTTGTTAATTGTATAAAATAAAAATATATCTACCAGTTACAATAGCATCAATATACAAGAGGGAGGAGAAAAACAGATTAAATGTGGATTATCTCTGACGAAAATATACACAACGCAAGACACCACATCATAGAACATCAAAAGGAAGAAAAAAAATGATGTACCGATACAAATGCACATAACTTACAGGAATATACTTTGCGAAGTCAATCTGTAAAAAAGGAAATTTCAGACCGTACTACAATGTTTTGACAATTTTTTTGTGTGCTCTTGTCTGGTTTAAGATGTTCCCACAAATCTACTGGGGATAAATAACCTTTTTTTTTAAATTTTCTCATTAACCAGAAAAAATTGATCAAGAAATTGGTTACATGGGCCAAATTATGAATTGTTCATTTTTCAAAAACATAAACTAGCAACTTAATTAACCTGTACCGAAATGGCTTCATTCAAATGTTTTATGTAGTAGTATTTTTGGTGCAATATAAAATTAAGGAATTGGAATCTGTTTTTTTTTATCTCCAACAATAAGTACTGCTATAGATTGATTGTATAGTGTTTAACGTCCCTCTCCAGAATATTTCACTGATATTAATAAATATAGGGATGATAAATGTAAACCCATAAAGGAAGTTGTTCAAACTTGCAATTAATGATTAAAACTGCCGAGTTCAAAGCTCATTAAAAAAAGTGACATAAAAATATGCCCTGTGTTCATAAAGTTAATCCCTTCAACATCATACACACCCATATTACGTGTTTTAGCACAGAAAAAAAAATTACTAACTTCCTTATGTTAATTTATGTTATCATTTATTTCCTTTGTATTGTACATGTAAATCAGTAAAACATTTAAACCCCCTCCCCTCCCCTGCATTTTAGATTTTAATTTTTTTATGTCCCATTGAGAATCCTGATAAGTTTTTTTTAAAACTGTGCTATTTGTAAGAGGCACAAAAATTTCTTTAAGCGGTCTTGTATGGAATGCCATATACGACAGCCAACTGCTTACTGCCAACTGCTGACTGCTTACTGCCAACTGTCAGCTGCTTACTGCCAACTGCCACACATATTTGAATAAATTTTATATTTGTATTGATATTTATATGAATTTTCACAAAAAAGGAGAAAAAAGGCACGGATCCAGGACATTTTTTCCAAGGGGGTCACCCTGGTAAAATTGAATTGAATAAATGACCAATATGTTTTATCTTATGTAATATTCAATATACCGGTATGCGGTTGATAAAGTACATTGTTTATTTTTTTTATTTTTTTTTCCTATTTGAAATAGGTAATAAAATGACTATTTTCTGCTTTTAGGCTTTAAAGAAGCCCCCCCCCCTCCCCCGGAGACAACAAAACCTTTGAAGAGAGAATAAAATAATAATAAAAAAAGATTTGTCGTTTTGCAGAGAAAGATGTTTTGAAAATAAATTTCCGTGTTCCATTATATTCTATAGTTAAAAATTTCCTCAAATTAAAGATGTATATCTCTGTGTTATAATGCAGGCACCTAGCATCGTTTTTGAAAGTGGGGGGGGGGGGCAACCAGAGAAAATTTTTTTTACTTACCTTAAAAAGTTGACGAGCAAAAAAAAAAAGAAAAGGAAATAGCCCAAACTCGAAAATCCTATTTCGTTTTTTTTTTTGGGGGGGGGACTAACTTTTTTTCTTTTTTTAAGGCCAACTACCTTTCACTTACATTTCTTTCCACACAATACTACATATCTTTGATATCATTATATTATGGTAAGAAGTGGGGGGGGGGGGCAACCATCCTTTCAATATACATTTGCAATAGTCAAGGTGACGTTGCTACGTCCCTGTAATGTTTCACATGCTTAGATCTGGGGGGCATTTAAAATTTGTACGGTCATACGTTAAATAAACTAAACGAACTACCGGTATAACTGACCTTGGACCCTCCACTTAGAAAACGCCGATCAAACATTTATATTAGGGCTGGGTATTGGCCAAAGAATTTGTATTGCGATATATTGCGATATTTTTAAGTGTATTGCGTTATGTATTGCAATATTTTTAATATTATTAAAATGGCAGTTTCTTATTATATGAACTTTAATTTACATACAGAATGTATATAACTATGATAAGTAAGCAAAGGAAGAAAAAATATTGATGGTTTTATTAAATTTCTGCTTTGAAATACACCAATATAACAGTTCCAGTCTTACTGTTTGGCTTAATAACAAACCTTTCTTACATTTTCTTATATTTAGATATAAAATTCCTAAGTCAAAGCATATTGCCGGTATATCGATATTACAAAAATGCATTGCGATACGATATTGCTTGTCGTTGTATTGCAATATACCGAAATATCGATATTTTTGCCCAGCCCTAATTTATATCTCTTTGTTTGTACAAATAAATAGGGCTGGGTATTGGCCCGAGATTTCGTATTGCGATATATTGCGATATTTGTAACTGTATTGCGATATGTATTGCAATATTTTTAATGTAATTTAAATGGCATTCTCTTACTATATTTACTTTAATATACATGCAGAATGTACATAAGTAACCAACACTGACAAAAAAAATGTTGATTTCATTAAAGTTATGCTCCGATCGAAATGTTCCCACAAAACAACTTCTGTCTTACTGTTTGGCTTAATAACCAACTTTCATAAGTCCATTTTTATATTTTATGACAAAATTCCTTAATCTAAGCTTATTGCCAATATATCGATATTACAAAATCGTATTGCGATACGATATTTGTTGTCATTGTATTGCAATATATTGAAATATCGATATTATTGCCCAGCCCTACAAATAAAATATGTTTTACATGCATAGAACTAGAGAGAGGGGTCCGAAACACCCCTCTGAAATTTGTAAAGTTATTTAATGCACAAACTAAACCAACTAAAAGTTATTTAATGTATAAAATAAATCAACTAAAAGGGACCTTAGAACCCCCACCCCCCTCCCAACCGAAAATGTGGATTCGTGTTAAGTTGGTATGAAAAATGTCATACACATGAAGATATGACGCATAAGAACCCGATCTCCCCGGCCGAAATAAATTTTCACATTTAGGAAAGGACTTTACGTAATTTTTTCTTGTCAAGAAATTTCTGGGTTGGATTTTTTTTTTTACCAGAGTGACCCTCTTGGAAAAAATGTCCTATAGATCCGCGCCTTTTTTTTTTTAAATTTACATAAATATCAATATAAAAATAAAATTTATTCAAATATGTGTGGCAGTTGGCAGTAAGCAGTCAGCAGTTGGCAGTAAGCAGTTGGCTGTCGTATATGGCATTCCATAGTCTTGGTACATATAACACCAGAAATTTGTTATGATAAAAGACAAGTGGCAATCAGACATGAAAAACAAGGCCAGAGCAGCACTTTTTGTGATCTTGTAGACATAAAAAAATGTAATATACATATATATCATAGATTTAAGAAGAAAAATCCTCCTCTGAATATGAAAACTTATGACAATATATCAAATTTCTTATCTTTGTACTCACTGACGAATAAAAAATGTGTGTACCCCATCAGTTTGTCAATGTCCAAGTTACTTAAAAATAAAAATTAAAAAGCAGTGAAGCATACGCAAAAATATAATTTTGCATAGATACTGTATAGATAGATATACATGTAGTTCTTGATCTTAGAGTTTTAAATATATTTGAAAACTTTCATCTTGGTCTATATAGAGCTGTCATCAGCTGAATCAGTGTTTCACAAACACATCACTTTTGTTTTTAAGATGTCCCATTTGAATTAAAAACTGTTCATGTGCTGTATTCACTTTTTATGTCAAATTTGCATCGGGTTCAAGATTGAAAAAAATATTAGATTCATATTGGCGTCAAATCAAAAAACCTCGAAGTAGTGTAGCCAGTCGACAGTTGTACACTGGACATGCTAAGGTTGGATACAAAATGTAGTGCCCATAATATTCGACAAACACTACTAACAGCCGTGAAACGAAAAAGTAGGTAAGCTTTATCAATAATGTTCTGTTTTCTGTTGTCTTAAAGGCAAAGTGTTTGAAAAATTATGTTTGAAGATGGAAAGAAAAGGATGCAAGAAGAAGGCTAGGATGCAATGAAGAATCAGTTACCCTTTTTAATTTTATTTATAAAACTGAACGCTTTTTTATTGTTTATTTGTGCAAATTTTTGACAATCGTCAACTAATTCTGGACAGAAAAATACTTGGCAAAATTAACAAAGAATTTTCTAAAAGCCAAATTCTTTTTGAGTATCCCGATAGTATGGAAATTGGCCATTTTATGATGAGATCTATTTAAAGCCAATTCTTACTGTGGAAAATAATTAATTAACGTTTAATTTTCTGTATAAAAAATAAATGGGAAACAGTACAAATCACAGAAAATAAAGAAATTGAATTATTAATTTAATACACCCGATAATTGTGATTAAATGTTCATGTTCAGTTTAATTCATACATGTACGTGTGAAACCCTTCTTCCTTCAATAAATAATCATTCAGTTTGTTTCTATGCGCGTACTGTTCATAAATGACCTTCGCATACATGTAAGAAGTCCTGTCATACTACCCAGAATCAATTTCTACAGCCTTTTATAGTTCCATTGTTTATTGCAAATCTCATTTCTGAGTTAGCTCCGCCCATTAAATTAATAAACCCCACCCACTGGGACTGCTTTCTGGGACTGCTGGGACTGCTCTCTGGGACCGTGGGGACTGCTGTGAAGGTTTTGGGACTGCTGACAGTGTGGGACTGCTCTGGGACTGCTGTGGGACTGCTTTAGCAGTCCCAGAAAGCAGTCCCTGGGACTGCTCTGGGACTGCTTTGTGTCAGGTTGGGTCTGGTCGGTACTGTATGGTCCCAGCAGGTCCATACAGGTCAGTGCACTATGGTCCTAGGGATGGTGGGAAGTCCCCTAAAACTTGTTTGGTTTAAAAAATGGAAGTTTATTCACTTGCTGATGGGGGCTGCAAATTTTGACTTATGCTTGACAATCAAGGTAAACAAGCAGTCATCTACTTCTACACGGGTCCTCAGTTTACATGGTTTATACCATAATTTGTCTTATCCGAGGGACTGCATGGTCTCCATGTCCCACACTGGGAATTGAACCTGCAATTAAGGATCAACTCCTTACTCTGCGACTCTAGAGCAGACTCTCTAACCACTGCATCATGCAGACAAGTTATTAGTTATTGAAAGCAAGAATCAGATGATTTCACCAAACATACGCCAACTTTAGACTATCTACATGTATTATACACGGACTTTATATGTATCCTCTAAAAGTATATTTTAATTCAATTAACATAATAAATAGACATGTAAACTAATTCATTGCTAATAAGTAATTGATCTTTTTTTTCAGCTGAGCAGTCCTCTTGTTGTTCTAACTGAGGAGAAGTGGCAGAATGAGGGCAAATGATAGTGTATAACTTCTTCCAGCAGGTGTCCCCCCTAAAGATCCCAGAGACAAGGACATGCCTGTCCATGTCATCAGTTAACATATAGACTCAAGTAAGTATGTTGTCCAACAGTCAGTTACCAGCCTGACTGTTACAAAATCTTTAACTGTATAATCATAATTTTTCAATGAGTGAAGACAAAAGATGTTTTATTTTCAAAATTATATATTACACATGTACATGTGACAAGAACTTTCTGGTGAATTTTTTAATTTTTTTTTTTTTATGTCAAGCCCTTGACTTTGATGTTTAACCTCAACAAATGTGATCCCTATGTGACAGGACCTTTCTGATTTTATCAAATTTTTTATGTAATGACCTTGACTTAGTTATAATGACCTTGATGTTTATCCCCAACCTATGAGTAATAGCAAAGAACCACATTTTCTGAATGTACTTGTTATTTCATGAATTTGATTTGATATTATAGATTCTCCTAGACTTTCACCACGTAATATCCCATCATCAGCCGCCAAATCCTGACCACCGACCCATAGAGAAAAAGAATCAACAGAAATGGGGACCCAGAAACCTGGCATCACTGGCGTTGCCGACAGCAACATGATTGAGAAAGACCTGTACCCAGAATTCTCTGTGTGTAAGGATTAAAGAGGTAGGGGTTTAGAACTGATTTTTTTACTGAACATTGTTTAATACATTCATATGTATTTATATTCCCTCATTTCTTTGTATTCTCTTAACATCTACCTTTAATAAATGTAAGTACTTGTGAAGCCTTATTATTATTATATTATAATTATAAAGTTTATATAATAAGAGTTTATTTCATTCAGTTATTATTATATTCTATAATTGTAAACTACTTCAACAGGTCGAGACCACTAGATTTTCTGACGTCAGAATAAATTTGCATGTAAATTAGCTTTACCCACTGATGAATGAGTCGCAATGCATTGTGGGCTACTACAAGTACCCAGCTGTGTTGAAAATAAAGGCCAACTTGAAATGTCCCTTGGAAACCTATTTTGAATTCTTTTTTTAGATTTATGGAAGAAATATATAAAATGATGTATAATCTTTCTTTTCTATGCTCACATTTACAAAATTTGCTTTATGAAGTAATATATATCAACTTATAACACATAGTATAATACATTGGCCTAAACCATTGTTCGAAGAGACGTATATGTAGATGCTATTGTGTCGATAAAGCATCGAGTTTTTTTTTCACGTGATATACGTGTACATAGTTTTAGACAGCAGTACAAGGTGCGCTATTATTATTTAACCCCGAAATATTATCAAAAAGTTTTTATTGTACATGCAAACATCAAATCATTTGCACATTATTCGATTTTTCGACGCAATTATTAATCATATAAAACAACTCCAATATTAAATGTGAGCATGGAGCATTTATTATGTCTTGGGAATGTAATCTTTCAATTTCGGACCTAAAAAGTGACAAAGAAGCTCTACAATTTTTCCGGTGACGAAGTGAATATTATGCAGAAACCGACGAAAACCACGTGTCGCCATTGAATTGTAAACACGTAGTAGAGTGTCATGCTTTCGGACTCATTCACTTGATTGGCAAACAGGTGTGACGACAATTTCGTCACGTGTTGAAAATTGCCTTCCATATAAGGTAGTGGTCTCGACCTGTTCAACAGTTGG